CTCCCACAGCGCCGGCGGGGGAGATGTCATGACCATGCATTGGCGTGTCGGCGTCCTCGTCAGCAAGCCCGCCCCGGTCCTCCATGTTGTCATCCTCAACTTCCACATCTGCTTCATTACCGCCGTCATCATGCGGGCCGGCACTTCCTCCTTCCTCGTCCTCGTCGTTGTCCTCGTCCAGGGCCCTGGGAATTTTCACGGCCAACATTGCGCTGGTGCCGAAGCCTGTCATCAAACTCCGTTGCCTCGCTTGAACCTTGAGCCAAATCACGACCTCCCCTCACGGAGGGCGAGGGAAGATTCGCGCCCGACGGCCCACCCGGCAACTGCTTTGTCTTCCCTGTCGTCGTGGATGGCGTTTGTCGCCTGCTCTTGGAACCCGCCTCGAAGGGCAAAAAAATACAGTCCGCTTGCTGGTCCGGCGGCAGCTTCGAGAAGTCTACCTGTACCGCTTAACCACACCTGGCAGCAGGTCCATTGGAGTGTTGAATTGGACCAAAGGTTTGCTCATCCGAAAAGAACTGTTGACGACAGGAAGGCAGCCAGTGACGTGGTTGGCGTTTGTTTTGCTGAGAAATTCTTCCGGAGAAAGCATTCGGAATTCAGTTCCGTCCCCACACACGTCAAACGCTTTCATGGAGAAAGCCTTGACGCCGTATCCTTGGAAGAGATGCAGGTAAAGGGAGACCTTCTTGTCTTCCTTGACCCAGTCTGTCCCAGCGCTGTCGAAGACGGACGTGAGGAAGGTCCTGAACGTCCTCCCTTCGTAGGTCTTCCTGCCCGCCTCGGATCTCTCCACACCCCCACAATAGTACCAAGTGGCGCCATTGTCATCGCTCAAGAAAATAACTGCACCACACCCCGCTTTATGCAAACTGCCTACCAAGTCAAGAGCCCACGGTTTGTCGTTGTAAGTCTTAGACCTGCCGTACCGTTTATTTTGAGCAGATGTCGGCGCACCAGATTTACCTGCCGGTGGCAAATGCAAAACAAAGACGGCCAGGAGAACAGCAATGAGCACCACACAGAAACACTTGCACGTGGTCCGAGACATTCAAGAAGGCACGTGACCCGCCATACGCCCGCCATCCTTTCGGCAAGGGGGGTTAGCGAGGGTGTCGGGAACGCTGCATACCAGACAACCGTGCATGGGCGAGGGGTCTGGCGTTCCCAGTCCGTCAGACCCTCGCCATCCTTTCGAGGCAGGGGGTCGAGGGTTCCCATTCCGATGGCCCCCCCTCCCCACCCAGGAAGGATGGCGGGGGCAGGGCATTTCGGGAACGCCCGACCCCCGACCGAGCACGGGTGTCGGAGGTCCGGCGTTTCCAATCCGCCAGACCTCCATCCAAAAAGGGTGGAGGAGGTAGGGCGTTTCGGGAACGCTGGACCCGCGACTGAGCACGGGTGTCGGAGGTCCGGCGTTTCCAATCCGCCGGACCTGCATCCGAAACGGGTGGAGGAGGCAGGGCGTTTCGGGAACGGCGGACCCACGACCGAGGGGTCCGGCGTTTCCAATCCGCCGGATCCCCGTACGGAAAGGGTGGAGGGGGCAAGGCGGTTCGGGAACGCCAGACCCCCGACCGTGCACGGGTGTCGGTGGTCCGGCGTTTCCAATCCGCCGGACCTCCATCCGAAAAGGGTGGAGGAGGTAGGGCGTTTCGGGAACGCCGGACCCCCGACCGAGCACGGGTGTCGGAGGTCCGGCGTTTCCAATCCGCCGGACCTCCATCCAAAAAGGGTGGAGGAGGTAGGGCGTTTCGGGAATGCCGGACCCCCGATCGAGCACGGTTGTCGGAGGTCTGGCGTTTCCAATCCGCCGGACCCCCGTACGGAAAGGGCGGAGGGGGNCCCCGTACGGAAAGGGCGGAGGGGGGGTAGGGCGGTTCGGGAACGCCAGACCCCCGACCGTGCACGGGTGTCGGAGGTCCGGCGTTTCCAATCCGTCGGACCCCCACACGGAAAGAGCGGAGGGGGGGTAGGGCGGTTCGGGAACGTCGGACCCCCGACCGTGCACGGGTGTCGGTGGTCCGGCGTTTCCAATCCGCCGGACCCCCGCGCGGAAAGGGCGGAGGGGGTAGGGCGGTTCGGGAACGCCGGACCCCCGACCGTGCACGGGTGTCGGAGGTCCGGCTATTCCAATCCGTCGGACCCCTGTACGGAAAGGGCGGAGGTGGGGTAGGGCGGTTCGGGAACGCTAGACCCCGACCGTGCACGGGTGTCGGAGGTCTGGCGTTTCCAATCCGCCGGACCCCTGCACGGAAAGGGCGGAGGGGGGGGGTAGGGCGGTTCAGGAACGCCGGACCCCCGACCGTGCACGGGTAACGGTGGTTCAGCGTTTCCAATCCGCCGGACCCCCGTGCGGAAAGGGCGGAGGGGGTAGGGCGATTCGGGAACGCCGGACCCCCGACCGTGCACGGGTGTCAGAGGTCCGGCGTTTCCAATCCGTCGGACCCCTGTACGGAAAGGGCGGAGGTGGGGTAGGGCGGTTCGGGAACGCCGGACCCCGACCGTGCACGGGTGTCGGAGGTCTGGCGTTTCCAATCCGCCGGACCCCCGCACGAAAGGGCGGAGGGGGGGTAGGGCCGTTCGGGAACGCCGGACCCCCGACCGTGCACGGGTGTTGGTTGTCCGACGTTTCCAATCCACCGGACCCCCATATGGAAAGGGTGGAGGGGGTAGGGCGTTTCGGGAACGCCGGACCCACGACCGAGGGGTCCAGCGTTTCCAATCCGCCAGATCCCCATACGGAAAGGGTGGAGGGGGTAGGGCGGTTCGGGAANGGAAAGGGTGGAGGGGGTAGGGCGGTTCGGGAACGCCGGACCCCCGACCGTGCACGGGTGTCGGAGGTCCGGCGTTTCCAATCCGCCGGACCCCCGTGCGGAAAGGGCGGAGGGGGTAGGGCACATCAAAATGATCGTCCCATCATTCATGGCATCTCCCCATCATGTCCTCTTCCAAAATCGAACTTATCCAAAAACACAAAAAAAAACCAAAAAAAAAAGAGAAAAACAGCAAATCCCCTTCGCTCGTTGTTCCACAACCACTGATCAGCCCTTCGTTCGCTGTTCAACAACCGAAAACGAAAACAAAAAAGAAACCGGAATCGAACTTTTTCGAAAACGAAAACGAAATAGAAACCGAAAAAAAAATAAAAAAAATCCCCGTCGCACTTTGTGGGGGAATGTAGATCAGCCCTCCGTTCGCTGTTCCACAACCACTGATCCCACATGGCAACCACTGATCTTTGATCCTACAAGACATCGCCCCATCATTCCATTTTTGGCAATCGAACTTTTTCGAAAACGGAACCAAAAAAAAACAGAAAAGATAAAAAAAATAAAAAAAATGAAGAAAAACAGCAAATCCCCATCGCACTTTGTGGGGGAGAGGAGATCAGCCCTCCGTTCGCTGTTCCACAACCACTGACCCTACATGGCAACCACTGATCTTCGATCCTACATGGCATCGCCCCCATCATTCCGTTTGCTATCGAACTTTTTCAAAAACGAAAACAAATAAAAAAAGAAAAAAAAAAGAAAAACAGCGAATCCCCATCGCACTGATCCTACAGCAAATCCCCTTCGCACTTTGTGGGGGAGAGGAGATCAGCCCTCCGTTCGATGTTCCACAACCACTGATCCTACATGGCAACCACTGATCTTTGATCCTACATGGCATCGCCCCCATCATTCCGTTT